AAAACAGTGCTGTTTTTGCATGCTCGAGCTAACAAACAGTAACTCTATCCTTAAAATAGAATCTTAAAGATAGAAATGATAAGTATATCTAAGATATATCTTACTTGATCTCTTCTCGCAAGGCTGACTCAAAAAGCTTGAGCAGTAAGTATTCTTCCCGCTGGTTTGAAGCATAGTTATACAACGTGAAGATCACAGTGTCCATGAACTTGGTGGATTTGTTCTGGGGCATCTGGAAGATTAGCTTGGCCAGGTATGAAGGATTGGTCTGTTAAATGAAGAAAACTCATTGAATAAAAAATCTAACTGAAAATGTAAATGCATAAAAGATCATTAAAAAGGTATTTATACAGTATTTATGAGTTTTATACATTCCGTAAATGCATAAAATATTTTTAAATTATATATTTTAATATATATAATTATACATATATATATATATATATATATATATATATTACAAATAAATCATATAGAAATAGTTTATTTATAAATTATATTAATACTTTTTTTATTCTGTTTTTTTTTTAATGAACAAGTACAATAATTTCCCGCGCCAATCGGTGCAAAATTTTATTGGAATATTCCATTAAAGTTTTGTTCAGCGATTCAGCATTCCAATCTATTTCTTAAATGATTTAAAATGACTAAATTTGTGCCAGAGTTCCTTATCTCACTTGTAGAAGGTAGAAAAGATGCTGATAGGCCTCCAGTTTCTTCCTCTTCTCTTTGCTCAGACCCTTGATGCCCTGCTTTTCCCCCATGGCCAGATCTTCTTTGCTCATTTTGTTCTTTTTGCTCTTCATCTTTTTGCTGTGTGACACCACATCCTGGAGACAACATAGCAGTAGATGGAAAAATTAGAATGGATCAAGGGTTCATACTCAACTGGTTTAGACATCTGTAGCTGCTTCTACTCTCATGAAACTTCTAAGAATACAAATATGCTGTTGTTGTTGTTTTCTCTCAGTGATGTGTATTTGCTTGCAGTAGCACTTCACATCATGGGAAAACAGAAACGTATGCACAACAAAGGACAATGTATCTCAATCTCATTCAAATATATCCAACAAGCAATTCAAAGAGATTCTTAAAGGGGTCATATGATGCGATTTCAATTTTTCCTTTCTGTCGAAATCGCCTGCCGCGCTGTTCTCAAGCCCACCCCACTCTGCTCAATCTAGCCCTCCGGCCGTTCCTCACTCTAGCCCCCGGCCTCTGCTCACTGTAGGCCACCGTCCGTGCCTCTGTATCACAATATGGTAAGGGGTGTAACATTTCCGTCACACGCTTAAGGTATTCGGCCAATCATAACACAATGGATAGCTGGCCAATCAGAGCACACCTCGCTTTTCAGACCGATGAGCTTTGTAAAAATCGACACCTTTCAGAAAGGCGGGGCATAGAGGAGAAACAATAATGTACGGTATGTGGAAAATAATGTGTTTTTTTTAACCTTAAACCGCATAAACACATTTCATTACACCAAATACACAAAATAATGTTCTTTTTAGCAACATCATATGACCCCTTTAAGTTTTATGAATCATTTAAAATCACCGCATGAAAGCACTGAAAGCAAACTGCATCTAACCTGTAGTGTTATCCTGTTTTTTACTAACAGGCCAATTTTAATATCCATCAAATTCAGATCCTTTTCCATTTGCTGATTAGAACGAATCTTGGTGACCACTTCCTCTCTGAGCCGTGTCACTTCCTGTTCCTCCTGTAAATCGAGGCTGCTTTGTTCCAGCAAATGTACAAATTTACGGACCACTGAGAGAGGGGGGTGCTGAGAACCGGCTGTTTGAAAAACAGAAAAACACATTCATCTTTACCTTACAAACCAATCAACTGTCTATGCAAGTAAATGTAAATGAATTAACATATTAAATATAATGTTATTGACTTACTCAAGGTTCTGTAGTCAACTCTTGCTTTGTTAGCCTTAAGGTAAGCTTGAATCTTCACTATTTCTTTCTCCTGAGCATGACACAGAATATGCCATTTTCATGAGTATAACTGATAAAGAAGCTGCTCGTTCACATTAGTGCTTGTGTGTGACTTACATGGTCTTTGAAGTACAGCAGTCTCCTTGTGTAGCTCCGTTTAGCTTTCCACATCTTCACCAGTGACTGTAACTAAATTACAGAGGAAACAAGTTTTCATATTATGAATACTGCACTTCAAAGCAACAAGGAAAAATATGATGAAATACTGTAATAAATGAGCATCAGCGATAGGACCGTTACCTTAATCGCACTGCTCACGCTGTCTTGGAAGGTCTTTAGTCTGTCCTTATAGACTCTTCTCTGTTTGTAGCCCTTCCAGGATGCCTGTAATCATAAAGCAAAGCCCATGTGAAATAGACCACATCACATATTTGTTCCTAGAGAATATTGGTAGTTTATTTTCTTTTGAACTGAGCTATAAAGAAAACAATACGACTCTAGAATTTATAGCCAATACGGTTACTAAACCCTTTTTTGTAATTCTTTCTTTGTATAATGTTGATATTTCGTTGCTATTGCTAATTTTATTGTCTCTTAATGTTTTGAGGAGTTAACAGAAGAGTTAATCATTTAGATTTACATGCTTTTGATGTGTAAATGTCATATTACAAAAACTATGAAACTACTCACTATAATTGTTTTCTTTAATAAACAATCCGAACTTAAAAATAACAGAAATAATATTATAAAATAATAATTTAACTTTTTTTTATGCTAAACAATTAAAAAATGTTGAGTCTTAGAGCTTTCAAATTAGGTTAGTGGCCTGGCATACAAGTAATCAAGTTAAGTATCAATACTTTACATTAAACAGTTAAGCACCTGCAGTTTGATGACACTTGGCTCTTGCTTTCGCAGGTACTTCAACCTGTCATTATGTGCCCGCCTCACCAGGTATCCACGAATCAGGGCCTGAAGCTGGATGATGAGCGCCTCATTGGCCAACCACAGCTGCTCTCTGTTATACTCTGCTGTTACACTGCTCAAAACACTCTAGTTAGGGGAAAGAAAACATGAACAACAGAGCTTACATACTTGAATTCAACACTAAAAACTGTAAATGTATATCTGTCCTGAAGACCTACCTGAATATCTTCTTTGGTGAGCTGTGAACTGTCATGGACAAAATGATCTGGCTCAACCCATGTCCCTTCCTTGCTTTCAATGTTGTAGAAGTAGTCATATTTATCCTTGATCTTGTGTTTCACCCATAAACTGCCACTAGTTCCTACAAAAAAATGCAAGGTGAATGCAATTCTTCATAAATAAGTTATTCTTCACAGAAGCTCTAGACATGTGTATTTGTCTCTGTCTGAAATCAAATGAATCAGTAAATGTTTTAGATGATAGGACTATTTACAACTATTATTTAACAATTTATCAAATTAAACTGGCAAATTTGTACTAATTTTACACTATTAGGATTGTTAATGGTAATGAAAAAATATACAAGAATACACTACTGTACCATACACAATATGCTGCTAAATATATAATAAATTCTATCATTTATAAATAATACTTTCTAACAGCATGAAAAGAAATTCTCCAGCCTAAAAGAGTAAGGCAGATAAGTTAATGTTCAGATTAAAGCTAGACCTTCCAGATCGCAGTCATCAGGGGTGAGATAGAGTTACCTTGTTCTGTTTGAGTGCTCTGTAAGTGAGCGAGCTGGCTGTGGTAGACATGAGCACATTTAGACAGCACCGCTCGAAGACCTGCATCAGGACACTGCAGAGCAGCTAGTGTGGCCTTAGCATCTCCCTCAGATACTGCCCTGTTAATGTCTGCTACTGCCTCAGCCACTGAAATCATTCACACAAACGTAAGAATTCATTTTATTTTCTTAGTAGTAATGTTTCAAGATAAACACTTACTGGACTGACTGAGGTAACTTAGGTTTATTTGATTATCTATACATCCTCAAACCATGTTAAAATGTATCAAATATGGTATAACATACCATGTTTTGCCCCTCTCAATAAAAACTGCAGAGCTTCATAAAACTAAGCATTTAAATATCATGTAACTAAGGCATTATTTTAAGATAACAATGTGACAACTGATATTTATATATGAACCGATGTAAGTAGTCTGACATAGTTTTTTAAAAATCTCATTGATTTACATCACAAGCTATGAGAATTTCACCTTACTTTTTGGTCATGTAAATATCAGCAGCTGCACCTAATTTCAGGCCTCTGAATAAAATGTAAATGTTTATTTCCTCCTTGAGAATGAGCACCATATTCTTTTATATCATACTAAATAAGCCATAAATGCCTTGCATATCAAAGATGCTATTCAACAAAAACACATACTGTATGCAACCTTTTTTATTAATTTTTAAAACATTTTGTCTAAAGGGTCATTAAACTGTTCCATTTAAAAAAAAAAAAAGATTTTCTGACTATTATTTCAAATGTTAGGCTTTACTTTTGTAATCATTGAGAATGGGTAAAGTCACAGTTCTTCCTAAGACTATATTTTAATTTGTGTAAACGTTATACAGATTACATAAAGATTTTACATGTATAAAATAAAAAATGTTTACATATTTTTACTGTAGTCTATAAGTATTGTACAACAGAGTTTAAATATTAAAGTTAATAGACTTGAAAGGTCATAGGTAATTATGTGGATCATATGTATTAACGCACATCCTTTATAGGGATGTGTATAAGAAATGAATAGACTGAACAGAAAAGCTAATCCTAAAGCTTTCATGCAGCTTATATTTGGTTGCACACTTACATTTGAGTGCGTCCTCCTGGTCCCGGTTGGCAGTGTGCACGGCCTCCTGGATCTGGTCCAGCCACAGCACAGCAGATTCATCTCCAGAGCTCTGTTACAGCACAACACACAGTCAGCACATGCGCCATACAAACAAGTGTAACTGAACACACTGTCACAGGGCAAACAAATCATCTGCTACTACAGACCAAATTACTCTAAATCTAATCAACCAAATCAAGTAAAGGTGGGAGACATTCTGTGAGAAGGTATGAAGAAAGAAAGAAAGAAAGAAAGAAAGAAAGAAAGAAAGAAAGAAAGAAATTATAGGGACACATTTATCCAATAATGGACTTGTGGCCAGAGACATTTTCAAGATACCATTTAAACATTCCTCTATGCAATTTACGAACTATTTGTGGACAGATGTTTGTAAATAATTTGGTCCATGAACTGCATTTGGAGGAAGTCTCTCATCTCGCAGCATTTCCTGACATGCCTGAAAAATGAGCCCTGAGCAATTCTGACTCAGACTCCCTAAGCCCTTGACAGGAAACCAGCAACATATCACACCCTTCGATGTAAACTCCTAACTTGACAGTTATTTGTCTAGAGAGTGATCCTCAAAAGAGTCACTTGTAGATCATGTCTAGTTTGATGAACAATAGTTTGTAAAAATGAACTGGAAAAACCTTTCAAACATGTGGAGATTTTTTGTGCTGCTGCTATTACCATTAATGTTTGAGGACTCACTTCAAGATTCAGGTAAGAGAAAAACGCTTCTCTTTCGTTTAAAGATCAACAGCTGATTGCTATGTGGTAGAGATGTGAATTTGCACTGAAATCAAGACTTTTGTGACAAAGAAAACTTTAATTGCCCTTTAACTGACTTGACTCTTTTAGTCAGAGCTACTGTAGCAGTCTACGGTGATCAACATTTTCAATCACCTAAAATAAATTATTCTCTAAATACAATGTGTCAAAATCTAGCAACATAACAATGGTGAGTTTGGGAATTTTAGGTGGTCATACACTGCTGAAAGAACAACAAAAAGAGTCAGAGACATTACCCCAAAATAACACACTAAAATAAATAAAATGTAGTAAGTAAATATAATGTTACATAATTAAAAATGTAACACTTTAAATCAATTATTAACCTTAAAAAATGTTTGTCGTGTGGTAAATCTGGAACATCTGTGCCTATAATATTAAAAACTAAAACTAAACAACCTTTATTTAATTTCAAAAACTGTCTTTTCAACTGGTTTTAATGTCTTTGGTCACTTTAAATTTCAAAGTCAATTCAATGTTTTCCAGATTTTTCTAGATAATAAAGTAACAAAAATATGTATGCATTAGCATTGAATGTGTAATGTTCTTATTATTGACTACACAAATTGACTAAAACTTGAAGCCATGTCAGCTATTAATTATTATCCAATCTAAAATTTTCTGTAGAATTATATTCACTTCAGTTTAAATGTAACCACATTTTCAGTATAAATCTGTGTGAAATGTAATTACTAAGAACACCCTGTATAACAGTCTTTTAACATTGTTTTCTAACCTTTCTTTTTAGTATCAAAAGATTCCAGAATCATTTTTCCAAACAAGCCACCTCACCCAAAAACATATTCTGGAACAATAGTCTTTAACTCATCCTTCCAGGTGCCTGTGATAAACGTCAGTGCCAATGTCATCGATCACACCACTGGAATTGTCAGCACTAGGATCATTCCATCCGCGTACATCCTAGCCATCCTCATTGGGATCCCCTCTAATGTCTTTGTGTTAACCTGCCTCAGCGGAAGAAAGAATCTTTCCAGTGGTATCCTATATTTTAGCCTAGCAGTTTCAGACCTCCTCTTGCTACTTTCCCTCACACTCCGAGTCCACTATCACCTCAATAACAATGACTGGATCTTTGGAGAGCTCGCCTGCAAGGTGGTGATTGCCTGCTTTTATGGGAACATCTACTGCTCGATTCATGCCCACATGTGTATTAGTGTGATGCGCTACCTTGCGGTGGTCCACCCGTTCCTCTACAGGACAATGTCAAAAAAGTACTATGCGATCTGCACCAGTTTATCCATTTGGATGGTTTTTGCTATTGCGATGCTACCTGAGTTTATGATTCAGCAAAGCTACCAAGTTCTTGAACAAAAGATGGTGACGTGTCATGATATCCAGTCCTATGAAAAAGCTTTCAACCGAGCTTTGATTCCATGCAGACTGAGTCTGATCTGCCTGGGGTTCATCCTGCCATCACTAGTCATCACATTCGTTTACGGATCCATCATTTACCATCTAAATCGTTCCAGTCATGACTGGAAACACTACATGAAGGCCAGTACGTTGGTGTTTGGGATCTTTTTAGTGTGCTTTGCCCCATGTAATGCACTTCTTTTTGCACACTATGTGAAGCTGTACACTCAGCAGCAGTATGACTTGTATTATTACTACAAAGCAGCCGTATGTCTGTGTTCTTTCCACAGCTGTCTGGACCCCTTCCTCTCATATCTCCTCACAAAGACTTCCACTTCCCAAGTCAACTTTAGATCCTTTAGCTCTAGACCTTCGATGGCTTTGTCCATGAGTTGAGTCCTTTTAAATACCAGGATGTTTGTGTTGTGGCCTGCGAGGGGGACTTCCTTATCTAAAATGGCTTAACAGTGGGTTGAGGATGTTGTGGTTGGACTTCCCACTTTTTACTTTAGGAGAGGCTCCTGACTTGATCAGGAGTTGGACACTTACACTCAAGTGTAAACATGAAACCAAGTCAAGCTGAATACAAAATATTTGAGACCAGGAAAGTTGAGTGTTGAGTAGAAAGTGTCCAGATCATTTGTATAAGAAAAGAGTATCTGAAATAACAGATGTAACCTCTTAAGGCCCGTTCACACCAAGGACGATAACTATAAAGATAACGATAAAGATATAGTTCTAAAAATTGTTCTCAATATTAAAGAATAGCAGAGTCCACAACACAACTATAACGATAAAGACAAAGAGAAACGATATCGTTGGAATCATTTTCAAAACGATTTTTCTGAAAAATTGGCAGCCAATCAGAATCCATCCTGCTGTAACGAGCTCAAGAATTTAAAGCGGCAGACGCGCGTGCGCTTAGAATAAACAGACGATATCGTTCGCTGGTGTGGACGCTAATATCGTTATCTTTATAGTTATCTTTATAGTTATCGTTCTTGGTGTGAACTGGGCTTTAGACATTTCATTGGTTCAGCACTGTTGTTCTGTTTCACCTTGCAGATGAGGTCTTTGGTGGACAACAGTAGATTGTGATAGTGTTTGGCGTTGGCTTGATTGACTCCCTGTAGTTTAGCTGTAGGGAGTAGGAGGGCGGCGAGTGTCTTCTCTGGATCTCCAGAATTTAGGGCTTCGTTGATCTCAGCGATAGCGATGACTCCTACACAGGGAACATGGGAATTTTATGTGCTCAACAACTGGAATATTCAATGGAATATTGTCAATGATTAAGAAAAAGACAAAAAGGTTCTAAATTTGTTGTTTCAAATGTTGTTTCAAGATCATGTATAATGTTTTATATTATAGTTGAATGCTGATCAAAGCCTAAATGTTTACTTATGAGAATCTTTAAATGTTCAAAACTTTTTTTGTGAGATTTCAATACATTGGATAAATGAAGTTCAATTCATACACATTATGGAGTAACTTTCTATAAAACAGACATTCTTTGTATGGTAGAATTTAATAATCTTAAAATGTTCATTGTCAAAGAAAAGTCTATGAAACACATCATTACTAAGAAGACCACTTAGTCTGTTTTTATTATATTACATAAATTCATTAAAACTGAAAACATTTGGTAAAAAAACTATTGAAATACTTCCTTTTCAATCTTGTGTGGTGATCATTTTGAAATTTACACTACTATTCGAAAGTTTGGGGTTTTTGAAAGACGTTTATTCTGTTTACCAAGGCTACATTTATTTGATTCAAAATAAAGTAAAAACTGTAATATTGTAAGATATTATTACAATTTAAAATAGCTGTGTTCTATTTTCTTATATGTGACCCTGGACCACAAAACCAGTCATAAGGGTCAAATTTTTTAATTGAGATGTATAAATCATCTGAAAGCTGAATAAATAAGCTTTCCATTGATGTATGGTTTGTTAGGACAATATTTGGCCGAGATACAACTATTTGAAAATCTGGAATCTGAGGGTGCAAAAAAATCTAAATACTGAGAAAATCGCCTTTAAATTTGTCCAAAGGAAGTCCTTAGCAATGCATATTACTAATGATAATACATTTTTGATATATTTACAGTAGGAAATTTACAAAATATATTCATGGAACATGATCTTTAATATCCTAATGATTTTTGGCATAAAAGAAAAATCGATAATTTTGACCCATACAATGTATTTTTGGCTATTGCTACAAATATCCCCGTGTAACTTAAGACTGGTTTTGTGCTCCAGGGTCACATATTTTAAAATGTAATTTATTCCCGCGATGACAAAGCTGAATTTTCAACAGCATGCTGCTGCTGATCATTCTGATATGCTGATCAAATCAAATCAATACGCAAATCAATATGATGATTTTGTGTCCAAGAAACTTTCTTATTCTTATCAATGTTAAAAACAGCTGTGCCTTTTAATCACTTTGTGTAAACTGTAATACATTACTTCAGGATTCCTTGACGAATAGAAAAAGAACAGCATTTTTGTGAAATAGAAATCTTTTGTATCATTACTAATGTCTTTACTATCACTTTTGAGCAATTTAATGCATCCTTGCTAAATAAAAGTGTTAATATCCAAAAACATATTCTGGAACAATAGTCTTTAACTCATCCTTCCAGGTGCCTGTGATAAACGTCAGTGCCAATGTCATCGATCACACCACTGGAATTGTCAGCACTAGGATCATTCCATCCGCGTACATCCTAGCCATCCTCATTGGGATCCCCTCTAATGTCTTTGTGTTAACCTGCCTCAGCGGAAGAAAGAATCTTTCCAGTGGTATCCTATATTTTAGCCTAGCAGTTTCAGACCTCCTCTTGCTACTTTCCCTCACACTCCGAGTCCACTATCACCTCAATAACAATGACTGGATCTTTGGAGAGCTCGCCTGCAAGGTGGTGATTGCCTGCTTTTATGGGAACATCTACTGCTCGATTCATGCCCACATGTGTATTAGTGTGATGCGCTACCTTGCGGTGGTCCACCCGTTCCTCTACAGGACAATGTCAAAAAAGTACTATGCGATCTGCACCAGTTTATCCATTTGGATGGTTTTTGCTATTGCGATGCTACCTGAGTTTATGATTCAGCAAAGCTACCAAGTTCTTGAACAAAAGATGGTGACGTGTCATGATATCCAGTCCTATGAAAAAGCTTTCAACCGAGCTTTGATTCCATGCAGACTGAGTCTGATCTGCCTGGGGTTCATCCTGCCATCACTAGTCATCACATTCGTTTACGGATCCATCATTTACCATCTAAATCGTTCCAGTCATGACTGGAAACACTACATGAAGGCCAGTACGTTGGTGTTTGGGATCTTTTTAGTGTGCTTTGCCCCATGTAATGCACTTCTTTTTGCACACTATGTGAAGCTGTACACTCAGCAGCAGTATGACTTGTATTATTACTACAAAGCAGCCGTATGTCTGTGTTCTTTCCACAGCTGTCTGGACCCCTTCCTCTCATATCTCCTCACAAAGACTTCCACTTCCCAAGTCAACTTTAGATCCTTTAGCTCTAGACCTTCGATGGCTTTGTCCATGAGTTGAGTCCTTTTAAATACCAGGATGTTTGTGTTGTGGCCTGCGAGGGGGACTTCCTTATCTAAAATGGCTTAACAGTGGGTTGAGGATGTTGTGGTTGGACTTCCCACTTTTTACTTTAGGAGAGGCTCCTGACTTGATCAGGAGTTGGACACTTACACTCAAGTGTAAACATGAAACCAAGTCAAGCTGAATACAAAATATTTGAGACCAGGAAAGTTGAGTGTTGAGTAGAAAGTGTCCAGATCATTTGTATAAGAAAAGAGTATCTGAAATAACAGATGTAACCTCTTAAGGCCCGTTCACACCAAGGACGATAACTATAAAGATAACGATAAAGATATAGTTCTAAAAATTGTTCTCAATATTAAAGAATAGCAGAGTCCACAACACAACTATAACGATAAAGACAAAGAGAAACGATATCGTTGGAATCATTTTCAAAACGATTTTTCTGAAAAATTGGCAGCCAATCAGAATCCATCCTGCTGTAACGAGCTCAAGAATTTAAAGCGGCAGACGCGCGTGCGCTTAGAATAAACAGACGATATCGTTCGCTGGTGTGGACGCTAATATCGTTATCTTTATAGTTATCTTTATAGTTATCGTTCTTGGTGTGAACTGGGCTTTAGACATTTCATTGGTTCAGCACTGTTGTTCTGTTTCACCTTGCAGATGAGGTCTTTGGTGGACAACAGTAGATTGTGATAGTGTTTGGCGTTGGCTTGATTGACTCCCTGTAGTTTAGCTGTAGGGAGTAGGAGGGCGGCGAGTGTCTTCTCTGGATCTCCAGAATTTAGGGCTTCGTTGATCTCAGCGATAGCGATGACTCCTACACAGGGAACATGGGAATTTTATGTGCTCAACAACTGGAATATTCAATGGAATATTGTCAATGATTAAGAAAAAGACAAAAAGGTTCTAAATTTGTTGTTTCAAATGTTGTTTCAAGATCATGTATAATGTTTTATATTATAGTTGAATGCTGATCAAAGCCTAAATGTTTACTTATGAGAATCTTTAAATGTTCAAAACTTTTTTTGTGAGATTTCAATACATTGGATAAATGAAGTTCAATTCATACACATTATGGAGTAACTTTCTATAAAACAGACATTCTTTGTATGGTAGAATTTAATAATCTTAAAATGTTCATTGTCAAAGAAAAGTCTATGAAACACATCATTACTAAGAAGACCACTTAGTCTGTTTTTATTATATTACATAAATTCATTAAAACTGAAAACATTTGGTAAAAAAACTATTGAAATACTTCCTTTTCAATCTTGTGTGGTGATCATTTTGAAATTTACACTACTATTCGAAAGTTTGGGGTTTTTGAAAGACGTTTATTCTGTTTACCAAGGCTACATTTATTTGATTCAAAATAAAGTAAAAACTGTAATATTGTAAGATATTATTACAATTTAAAATAGCTGTGTTCTATTTTCTTATATGTGACCCTGGACCACAAAACCAGTCATAAGGGTCAAATTTTTTAATTGAGATGTATAAATCATCTGAAAGCTGAATAAATAAGCTTTCCATTGATGTATGGTTTGTTAGGACAATATTTGGCCGAGATACAACTATTTGAAAATCTGGAATCTGAGGGTGCAAAAAAATCTAAATACTGAGAAAATCGCCTTTAAATTTGTCCAAAGGAAGTCCTTAGCAATGCATATTACTAATGATAATACATTTTTGATATATTTACAGTAGGAAATTTACAAAATATATTCATGGAACATGATCTTTAATATCCTAATGATTTTTGGCATAAAAGAAAAATCGATAATTTTGACCCATACAATGTATTTTTGGCTATTGCTACAAATATCCCCGTGTAACTTAAGACTGGTTTTGTGCTCCAGGGTCACATATTTTAAAATGTAATTTATTCCCGCGATGACAAAGCTGAATTTTCAACAGCATGCTGCTGCTGATCATTCTGATATGCTGATCAAATCAAATCAATACGCAAATCAATATGATGATTTTGTGTCCAAGAAACTTTCTTATTCTTATCAATGTTAAAAACAGCTGTGCCTTTTAATCACTTTGTGTAAACTGTAATACATTACTTCAGGATTCCTTGACGAATAGAAAAAGAACAGCATTTTTGTGAAATAGAAA